GTCACACAACCCTTACAAACACCTACCACAAGACAGCCAAACACGATTGCCTCAGGAACCACTCTGCCGCCTGCACGCTTCCCCCAAACAAACACTTTCATACCAAACAACAACCCTAAAATACAAGCAATACTACACGTAGCTTTAATAGCTGCCAAATACAACGCCAAGAAATTCGCGAACATAGTCCCTATTATGCTACAAAGAAACTTTCCCCAGCATTGTGATTCTTGAGGAAATCTTCGAAGACCAAAACCTATACATACCTGAGATTCACACAAACAAACACTCACACCGAGGTCAGAGAGGCGATCTCTACCTCGCACACACACTTACCCCTACAGCAACTACCACAACGAGTACATAAAGAAATCGCACAAAAGAAAACTACACCTGATACTTCTGACAACAAACGCAAACATACCTCACCACCAGACATGCACCCAAAAAAGACAAGAAAGACCCTGAGCTCCCGGCCCCCGGGGCTCGTCATGTTCATGATGACACCATCCTGTCGGATTCCGACAGTAGCGAGAGCCTCGAGGTCGATCTCGAGGAAGGCCTCCTCGCTGCCTGCCCCCTCCCCCCGAGGGAACAGGTCCTGTTCTCCCTGTCAGGGGAATTCTCGGGAGACGAGGAAATATCGGGAATTGGTCCGCCGATTCCCGAAAATTCCGAGTCTCCCAGTTTCAGGAATCCCTTCCTGACCTCGACGAGCCCCCGACGGGTGCTCGTTCCCGTCGGTACCAGGAGCAACAAACGCCACACAAGGTGAGACCACAACATCTGGACTCACCATGAGTGGCGTACTGACAATCGTGCAAGCGAATGTAAGATCATTTTTCAATATACGTAACATCTTTTACGACTTCCTCGACCGGGAATGTCCTGATGTGGTTCTTTTAAATTCCACCTCTATCACTAACTCCTATGCTATCAAACACTTCGGCTACACGTCAAGACAGTCACGAACCGCCTGGTTCGTAGGGTCCTGCGTCCTCGTCAAATCCACCCTTCATTTCGAATTCATTTCATCCCCATTCATCCATCCACACTTCATGGCTGTAAAGCTATTCACCCAGCAGGGCCCTATAATGATTGCCACGGCCTATATCAGACCAAATTCAAACTTGCCACTTTCAGATTTCAATAAATTATTTAGCTATAATAATCTTCCAGTCTTCTCCGCCGGAGATGTCAACGCATCACACATATCACTACGCCACACAACCACTAACGCACACGGCAGACAGCTCTTGTCTATTTTCAACACAAAAAGACTACATTACATAGGACCCGATTTCCACTCTACAATCACGGCTAGGGGAAAAGGCAGACCTGATCTCGTGTTCAGGAACAGGGCCGCCCTCCCCTACCACACACACCTACAACCAGGTCCGAACATCGGTTCTGACCACATACCCGTGATCATAAAACTTTCCACCTCACCTATACATAACAAAGAAACGCCATCCTTCCGGTATAAGAAAGCAGACTGGAACGATTTTAAATCTTATCTTTCAGATAAAAATTTCGATTTTAACCTTGAAAGAGAAAATGTTCTCAAAATAGATAGGCACTGGCATCATCTCTTTGCTTGGATTTCAGCAGCAATGCTCCGGTCCATCCCACGAGAGCGTTACAAAATACGTAAATCATTCCATCCAAGTAAGAGAACCAAGTGTCTCCTGACCTGCTACAGGAATCGTTTTCCCCAAAATATTCAGAATTTACACCGAGTTCGGTGGGACCTCACTATCCTCAGAAACCATGTCATAGATAGTTTTGATAATGACCGCAAAATTCATTGGCAAAATTTAATTAAACAAACAGAATCGATGCGAGTTCGCAATCCACGGGAATTTTGGCAAAATATTAAACAATTAAAAGGCAGTAACTTCCCTCCCTCCAGTCTCCTCGTCAAGGACAACATTCAAGTTTCAGATCCCGTGGATGTTATCAACATTTTTCGTGATCACTGGCAAACTGTATTCTATCCTCATGAACCACGTCCCTTTTTTAATGAACATTTTCAATCCATCAATACCTGGAGCCAAGAACACAGGATAGAAACAAAGCCAGAGCCAATTATCCACATGGATAGGCAGGACGACACATGTGAACTCCGTGCTCTCATCTTGCTGGAGGAGATAAAACAAATAATAAAGAGGTTTCCTCGCAAGGCTCCGGTCTCCTCTCAGATCGGACGTGACGCACTCCTTCATCTTCCTGACAACGTTTTACGAGCTATGACGCACCTATACAATACCTCTCTTGCTTCTGGCTACTTTCCATTCTCCCTTTAAAACTGCTATCGTGGCCCTCAAACCTAAGCCAAACAAAGATCTCACTGACCCCAAGAATTACCGCCCAATTAGTTTACGAGACATTAGCCAAAATTTTTGAAAGAATCACTAACTCCTGACTAAAGCGGTATCTTGACGACCATGACCTACTCTCTTCCAAACAATTTGGCTTTCGGTCTCACCGCTCGACAACTGAGGCACTGAACCTACTGACTAACTACTGTCTTAACAACAAAGACAGACGACTTAAGACGGTCCTCGTGACCAAAGACGTGGAGCGAGCCTTCGACACGGTCTGGCATGCTGGCTTGAAGTACAAAATCTGCACTTAATTTAATTTTCCCTCGTGCACCAAGAAGCTGCTTTGCAGCTTCTTGGATGACCGTAAATTAAAGCTTAAATTTAAAGGCAAAGTTTCCTCTACAATCAATATGCACGTAGGTGTACCTCAAGGCAGCATAATCAGCCCAACACTATACATATTATACACTAATGACCTCCCCGACCCCACCTTCCCTGATTCTCTGACATTACTTTACGCTGACGACTGCACGCACTTTGCTAGACACGATTCGCTCGCTGGTGTCGTCCGACGCATCAACGACGAGCTTGACCCCGTCTCTCGATGGGAGCACAAATGGCTTATCAAAACTAATTCGACAAAAACAAAAGTCCTCTTTATAAACCCAAGACACAATCCTCCTTACGATCCAATATACCTAAACTCTTTCGACAGACTACAAGCACCTCTTCAAATAACAGACTCTTGCACCGTTCTCGGTGTCACTTTTGACACCATGTTTAGATTTCAATATCATACCTCTTCAAAAGCCGCATTGGCCAGAAAGACCTTACAATCGCTTTATCGATTCAGATGCGCTGCCTCGCGCACGAAGCTGCACCTGCTCAAAGCACTTATCGCAGCACTCCTCACATACGCACAACTCACACTTACACTCGCCGCACAAACAAACAGACGCAAGCTACAGATCGTCCTGAACAAAGCACTTCGCTGGGTCTACAGCCTGGCGTGGAACGAGTTTGTGTCAACAGCACGATTACACAAGAGGCCAGCGGTGCTCCCGCTGAACCTCCTGTGGCAAAGGATGATTTGTAAACAACTCGACAAACTCCGGGCATGGTGCCCCGTCTGGATAGAGCGCAACAGCGCTTTCATCCAGGGACGGAGGAGCGGGATGGGCCGTGATCTCTTTTCTCTGGACTGGTCTGAGGAGATTGAGCCAGCTTTCTGAGCTTGGCTGCGTCTTCTTTCCCTTTGTGCACTCTCTCACATTTCCTTCTATCTCTCTCGCCCTCCCCTCTCATGTTTTGTTCGTTTGCCATTATTTTAACTCCTCCGAGAAATGGCCAGCCATGATGTGTGCGAGGGAGCCTCCGAGGCCCGCCACATCACGATGTGACGAGACCCGGGAGGTCCCCGGCTCGGCTCATTTTTCCTGTTTTGTGTTTGATTGTTTTTAATCTTCATTTTATCGTTCACTTTTGATTTTATTTCCTCGTTTAATCACTGTTTTCTGTACATGTAGTTGTTTCTTTTATACTGTAGTTTTAACTTTGTTTGTTTTTAAGTTCTTTTATGTTCAGTTTTTAAGTTTTGTTTTTGTGTTTTAGTTTTGTGTTTTTTCTTTTGTTTTAGATTAAGTTCGTTCCCTTCTTCAATGGAACTTTTAACCTCCCCATAAACAACTACCCTCCGGTAAGCCCTATCCCCCCCTTTAATTAACTTCCCCTTCAACCCTTTTCTCTGTGTGACGGTATCTTCGACCACATCTCCCACCTCATCTGCCTCACATCGCGTAAGCGTCCCACATTCTAATCCCTACCCTCATCTAACTGGTTCCGGATTGCCGACACGTGGCATCTGCCGCTCGTACCCGTGCCATGACTGCGGCTCCTTTGTCGGTAGGAGTGCCAACGCGCGAGCCGGGGAGGAGGTGCCACGGCCAGTGATGATAATCCACCGCCCGAGCACATCTCCCCGGAAGTCCCGCCGCCGACAGAGAGAAATCTCTGATCGGCGCAGGCGTTTTCATCCGCTCTCATCCTCGCAGTCTCGAGGTTAGGCGAGGGCACCACCGTTGCCATGGGCGACAAGTCCGTGCACGGTGGAGCCGCAGATGGCGCCTGGCAGGCTGCCCTCCTACCCCCCTCCTCCCCCGTTAGCCGAGCGCAACCCGCAGCCCGGGCATGGCCACCCTTGCTGGCGTGGAGCTGGCCCGCTAGTTCCACGCCGGACGGGAGAATCATGCCATGGCTGCGGCGAGCACAGATGGCGCGGGGCCTCCCCTTGTCAGCCTTTTCCCGCCTTTTTCGACTCCAGTTATCTATCCCCCATCTACTACCCCGAACGCTGGGTTCAGCCCCGGCTCTGTCTCTCTTACTAAATCATCCTTTCTATCCCCTCCTTGTCCTTCCCCTCTCCCTCCTTCCTTCCCCCCCTTCTCTCTCTCGATTTCGATTTCGATTCGACACAAGGCCTCATTCGCTCACTCTCGGTAACACGGTTCCCGAGTTGACCTGCTATCCCCCTCCGCGGCGGCGGCCCTCTCTCAGGGCCAAGCCGTGGGGGCTTTCATTCAGCACTGACCGCCTGTCTCCGTAGTGCTCATATTGTGTGATATTAAATAAAGTGTGAAACCACATCAGTGTATCACTAGCCGTCACCAGTCATTCAAACTACACATATAGAAGGTCCATTAGTACCTTTTATAGTGTGTGCTTGCGTGTGTGTGTGTGTGTACACGGGAAAGTCGTGGTAGGATTTTTGTTATGTGCTTAACTACTTTGCAATGTATAAAACAACAGGATTCAATGTAGAAAGTGTTATATACAAGAAACATTTATGTCTTTAAGTAATCGTTCAAAAGAGATGGAATGCCCAGGCGGAAAGGTTAGCTTTCGGCCTGAAACAATATGATTCATTATTCATCTACAAAGAAAGTTTAATGCCGTTTCACCGCCGAAGCCAACTTTTAGAATAAAACTGCACTGTCAATCAATCTATCAAAGACTTTGTTAAAGAATTGTCTTTGTCAAGCCGCAGAATGGTGCAACGTTAGATACATTTTCCTTCCAAAAAGTCGAACATTAACCAGTATTCAAAGTAATATAAAATGCAGATTTCACATAGCGTGTATAGTGAGCAAAATATATTTGAAGGAAATTGTATCGTGAGATGTTTAAAAATTTAATGGATCTGCTGGCTGCTAGGTGTAGGTTGACATAGTAACTTCTGATACTATTCAGAAATGGTATTACATATTTCAGTAAAGAGTGTATGTGGCAAATAATCTGTTCAAAGGTGGTTTATAGTTTATTATTATTCTGGTTATGATACTAGTTATATAAATCCCATTCGATTTAAACTATCTATGTACCATCAACGTCAACATTTGATTATTTTACGTTAGATATAAATGAAGTGACTTTGTTACCTCCGCCTAGGTTAGGTTTTCCATGGCGTTTGTTTGTGTGTTTGTTAGTTAGTTAGTGTTGGTTAGCAGGATGAATCAAAAAGTTATCTTTGGCCTAACTTGGAGATTCCATTAAATTTTAGTGGTGATCTGGATCATGGTCGATTATTATTTTTTTTTTTAATAATTGCATCACTTACCTCTTTTGCTTTGGGAATGGGGGTAATTATTATCATTATCATTACTTATATCATCTCCGCCAAGGAGGTAATGTTTACGGACGTCACCAGTTTACTTGAGAACGGTGAGAAATGTTTTACTTTATTAGTGACCCAAGTGCCTAGGCGGAGGTATGCGCTCTTTGAATGCTTTTAGTTATGAAATGCTGCTGGTCTTCCTGCAACACCTGGCGGTCTAGAAACTGATTATTTTAGTTAAATTACACACACACACACACACACACACACACACACACACACACACACACACATACACATACACATACACATACACATACACATACACACACACACACACACACACACACACACACACACACACACACACACACACACACACACACACACACACACACACCACACACACACACACACACACACACACACACACACACACACACACACACACACACACACACACACACACACACACACTCACAGACACACATAAATGTATATATACTGTATATGCATGTTTACACATATGTATGTAGCGGCAGATGCATATACGTGTCTATGCATGTATGTATTTATGTATGCATGTTTGCATGTATGTATGCATGTCAGTAAGTATGTATTTCTCTCTATGCATGTAACTTTGCATGCATATATGTCTGTATATATGTGCATTTACATATACAAAACGAGAGCATAACAGTCACACAGTAGACTTGATTATTTCTACCCGTAGTGCTGGGCTGGCCGTGAATGCGAAGCTGGACATAGGCCATGGTCGCCCCTCGGCCCTCATCAGCAACTACCTCTGGTCCCTCGACCTTCCCTTGAGCGCCAGCTACAGTTACAAGGTGAAGATCAAATGTTCATGACCATCAGAAAGCTCATATTTCTATGTTTGGTTGCGCTACATTACTATTGTTATTAGTTCTTTACAGTAATTGAGTATTATTGTTATTGCTGTTCTTATTATTGTCGTTGTTATTATTATTGTTGTTATTATTGTCGTTGCTATTATTATTATTCTCTCTCTCCATTTTAATATTTTTTCTTCGTTCCTCTCATTTTTCTCCAGCCATCAACCCCTTAATTAAGGATATTTCTCCCCATAGGTACATCTACTGCCTCTCAGATGCTCTAGTATTACAAGTCTTACTGTTCTAATATCAAGAGTACTGGTGGTTTTCGTAGTTCTTGTCTTTCGCATTTCAAACTGAAACTGAAAAACAATAGTTAAATGACATTACCGGTGTGGTCGACATTCTGTATGTAAACGTCAGGAACACATTCTCTATCTAACAGCAATAATATTCTCCTTAAAAGGAGAATTAATTAATAACAACACATAATTAAAAATCCTTGGCTTCAAGTAGCTGACATACAGACAATGTTTGAGGAAGAGCATTGGTCGCGTCTGGTTAGAAGTGCCGCTGTATATAAGTACATATTACATAAACATGTATATTCATGTGTAGTTGCCTGTACTTTAACTTGGTCCATCCTTTTCCGTTGGACGACAGAAGTTCCACTTTGTTTAAATTTACGTACTACGCACATTGGGGCATG